CACACACACACACACACACACACACACACACACACTTGTCCTGAGGGGCTCATTCTGACTTTACGTTTTCACTGTTCTGCAGGTCCAAGCACAGCTCCAGTTGGAAGGGGTCACCCACTCCGCCCACTCCCACCCTCACCTGCACCCTCACCTGGCCGCTCACGCGCCCTACCTGATGTTCCCGCCCCCTCCTTTCGGACTACCAATCGCATCTCTGGCCGACTCAGCCTCGGCGGCGGCGGCGGTGGCAGCAGCCGCCAAAAGCAACAGCAAGAACTCGAGCATCGCCGACCTGCGACTCAAGGCAAGAAAACACACCGAGGCTCTGGGACTCTGACCCCACCGGGCTGCCCCTCCGCTCGCCTGATGCCCATAATCGCCTCTCACACAAGACTGAGCCTGTGAAAGGGCCGTGACACTCACAGCTAAAACTAAAATAAACAAAAACACTGAGTGAGAATGAAAGAGAGGAACACATAACAGAGAGGGGGAGAGAGAGAGTGGGTGTGAGAGAGAAAGGGGGAGAACAGTGGAGGAAGAAAATAAAAAAAGAAAAGAAAAGGAGGAGGGGAGCGAGAAAATTGTCACAAAACCAGCTGCCAAAACAAACCACTTGTAGAGAACGGTAATTAAATACCAATGAAATCACCTTTTACTTTTCGCCCAACAGGCAGGACTTCTGCGGGGCCAGTGGCTCAGTCCACTCCAGGCACAGATCACATCCCAAGGACCGTACAAACACATGTGGATGTCTGTCTGAGGGCCAGGCCCGGGGCCCGTCAGACCAGAAGATGTTAGAACAAAGCAAACTGGCAGGCAGCAGCAGGGCCAAAAGCAGAGCCTCGCTGACGCTGGCTGACGCCATGTTGACAATGCAAAGGGTTAAACTTGTGTGTGTGTGTGGGGGGGGAAACAGACCCAAACATCACCCCACCGAGGTATTGGAACGGCTCTCACCTTCACCCGCCTCCCCAATCCCCCCTCCCTCCCCTCGTGCCCCGCTCCTCACTAGAGAAACGAAAGAAGAAAACATTTAAAGAACAAAACAAGGCCATATTTGTCTCCAACCACTGTGTTCCCTGCTGCTGCCAAGTGCATGAGCTCTAATGGAGGACCGTTACTGGGACTGGTTTCCATCCGCACCTGACATTAACACTCGACAGCTGTTTTAAACACTGCCATCCAACATGCTCCCCCCGACACCTTCAAAGTCAAAGGCCTCCATTAGAGCCTGATACCCTTCTTCTGATGGACTTATGCTCTAACAAAAGCAACAAATCCGTTTGGTTTTTTTTCTCCCTCTTTTTGTTGTTGTTAGTCGCAGACTGGAGAGACGTTGCTCTGTGTTGTCGGGCATGTGCTGGCGAGACTTTTGGTTTGCATTTCTCCCTCAAAGTGTGCGCTATCTCTCTCGCTCTGTCTTTATTATTTTCTTTCCTTTCTGTTTGTTGTGTTGTATTTTTGGGTAAAGAAGTGAAGATCGCCTTTGCACTTCAGGTCTCGCACGTGGGTGTTTACAAATGGCACTACAAGCAGATACTACTTTATTAATTGAAGCGGGGAGCTGGGTTTGATATCGTCACGCGATCAGCAAAAAGAACAATTATCTTAGATAAAGGGTATAAATGGGATTTTCCTTTTTCCTCTTTTCTTCTTTTGTAATTCTGAAAAAATATGAAGAAAGCATCAGTCAAACTGAAATGCAATGGTGTGCAGTTTAAGTGCAATACTGTAAATAGCAAAAAAAGAAAAAAAGAAGTAAAAACAGCTAGCAGTTAGTCCTCAATGATAAAGAGACCCAATGACTTTATTTTACTTTTATTTTTCTCATGCACTGTTGGAGTGTTCAGTTTATTTGCCAAACCCACCAGTTTTTCTACAGCAGTGTATATTTTGTTTGGTTCGAGAAAACCCCCTTAAAGACCAGGTGCCATATTCCTACATAACCTCCTATGTATTCAGACAATTTTCTATACATCAGGCACAGCTTTTATGAGGAAAGACATGAGCACATTTTTGGATTCAGCAGAAATTAAGGTAGATGAAAATAAGCTCTCTTAAGTACTCCACCAACGGTCAAAGAAATCCTTTTTGCTTTTTGCATTTTTAGGAAAAAGTGTTTTATCAGTCAATCAGCACCCTAACCCAAACCGAGCAGTTGTTTATGATACGATTAGTTTAATTTTGCATGTTGTATGTGATTTTTTTTTTGTCTTTTTCATCCTTAATTTCCAAATAAATTCAACGTGTATGCTACAAATTGTTCCAGAAAAAACATTGGGATGAAATACCGTTTATTTTGACAACCTTTTAAACACTGCTGTCAGACCCGTGCTAAATATATGGATCCGCTTCAGGTCCGCGTGACCTCGATCAGTCTCCAAACAACATTTTCTGTCTTACCAGACCTCCATTTAGAAATGTTTATTAATGTCTCCATTTTAAATTAAGCATATGGGTGTTTTATTTATTATTTTGTCTGAAAGTTTATGAAAGATTAAATAGTTGAACTACAAGTGTACATTTTTACATGGCTTTGCATTTATTTTTGTATGTTTTTATTAAGTGTTTCATTTTGAATTGGGGGGTGGCGTGGGGGGTGTGGCTGTAGTAAGTTGTTTGCCTAAAAAAAAAAAAAAAAAAAAAATGTAGCGTGTCCGAGTTTACAAACATTTCAGGGACGGTTGAATTTAACAATCCATGGAATTTGTTGTACCCATTAAAATGATTACCATTTCATATGCAAGCATGCCTAAACATGAATCATCGTACAGTTTGTTTTTTTACCCTTTTGAGTCACAAAATATGAATGTACATCTTGTACAAGTAAACTATCAATAAAGTTATAAATATTTGTACACGACTTTAAAAAAATACTGTTCAAACTTGTTAAACTGCACGAAAAGCCTGGGGTTTTGCACATGAACTAATCCTCCTGGGGAGTGTAAGTGTAATTTTCCTTATACCCTCGACAAACGAACAGCACTGCAGTCCTCAGAAATTACTTGGATACACAGTGGTAACCACGTTTCCAAGATAATAGCAGCAGCCCACGACTAATCCCCTCTCCCAGTGTTCGGGGTATTTGCGTCATGCTCTCTTCGTGCCTCACATCATGTTGCGGCTGATCCTCAACAGCAGTCTCAATCTGCGGATCAATATTAATATCGGTCTACAGTTGACATTCACGCAGACTCCGTGTTAGCCGGTCCAGCTCTTCACATCCAATCTGTGCCACACACCAGCAGAGAAAATTGAGCTGCTATAAAATCCAGATGCAGCCCTTTTTCTTTTTTTTCTGGAGCCTCTTGCGCGGCACATCTCTCTCGCAGTGTTTGTCAAAATGACACGGATAAGATTGGTATGGAAAGTGGGGGGCAGTACAGTCGTCAAATAGAAGCAAGATGGCTGTAACTGGAGTGGGAAGCCTGCAAGCGTGGAGGGAAAATAGCGGGCGAGCAAAGAGATGCGAGGGTTACTGTACATCTGACAAGTGATGTCCTCTGACCCGTGTGCTCAGAGAAGAGCTTTGGTTTGTGAGGACCGAGAATTTCTGCACGTTCGTCAGCATTTCAAGTCAGTCCCTCCACTTGTCTTACCCACACATACTACATTTTGCACTTTAAAATGGTCAGCGGCTTGTTTTTTCTCAGTGTATTAGCTTCCTCAGGGAGCCTAATTCCAGATGTGTGTATACAAAGTAATTATACCATGTGCTATAGTGGCTTATTGTTTGAACCCCATACAGGAATTATCCCAAATGGCGTCCTGTTGAATGCGGTACCCCCTAGAAGGTCGCCGCGCGTTTAATTTGTACCTCTTTGCTCATACATCAAGATTGAGTGATATGGTCGCAGACTGATGGCTCCATATTTACCCAGTGACCCCTCTGGCTGAGGCTAGGTCTGGAAATAACAGCATCCTTTTATGTGTACTAATAATTAGCAGGGCACACACAGCCATCCATCAACCACCAATGAGCCATGGCTGCTTTGTCAACATGTTCAAGCACATAAAGCTATTTATGTTGGCCACAAGTAACAAATACACAATAATATCTTAATAGAGAGAGAGAGAGTGTGTGTGTGTGTGTGTGTGTGTGTGTGAGGGGGGTATTTAGTGGGCTCCTGTGCTTGATATTAAATGTACATCTGGTTTTATTGCTAATGAACGTTTCCTTGGTTCTTACAGGCTGCAGAATGAGGGCTCGCTCCTTATTGTCCCGACGTTTCGTTTTAATCCTCTGTTGAAATGTACTTGGATTCCCTATAGTGATCTCAAATTCTGCTATAAACGAGTGCTTCGTCAAGTAACTGTTGTGATTTCCAAAAAGTACAGATCATCAAATTTTTTTTTCTCCCCCATACGTTCCTTTCGTCGTCCACTTCTCGTTACGTCTGGTTCGGGAAGAATGAGCTTCGCAGCTTGTCCCAGAAGTCTGAGGCTGAGTGCTACGCCGCGCTAGCCCATCAGAGGTCAAGTGCTCAGGGGTCACGTGAAAATAGTTTTTTTCTTTTAATCACATTCTCATAATACTCTTTGAAATGTCACACACAACTATGATCAGACGGAATGTGGGCTGTCGTAGCCTCAACATAAAGCTGCGCGGGGCACCGGTAATGGTGTGAAATGACAGAGCTTATGGGCCTGAGAAGACAGTATATATTTAGCTCAAAGACATGAAGTTAGAGCTTTTGTCATGCTATATCACAATAACTTGAGGGGCTACTTGCAACAACTCTGAAAATAACAGGCTTGTTTGGTTTAGTTTGGAGGTTTTTTTTCTTGTGTGTGTGAACCAACTTTGTGGTTCTTAAATCCCGAGTAAATCCTGTTCCTGCAGTTTCAGCTGTAGCTTGAAGTGAAGCCACCCAGAGAAACCTCAGCTGAAAACAATCGAGCTGAAGTGCTGAAGTCACTACGGTCGGCCAGGGATCAAAGGGCGCCTTTCATCCCAGTTTGTTTGGGCTAGACTTTGCTTTGCTTTGTTGGCTAATGCTCATAAATGTATCTGGAGTCATCAGCGGTGCGAAACTATATTAAAACCAACATTTTAAGTCTGGGTCAACACTTGGTCTTTCTTTTTTTTCTTTTTAAGTGAAAGTGGAAACTGTCAAGAATATAAATTCTGGGTGGAAAAAAAAGAGGCATTAAGTTCAAATTCTGTTCAGCTGTTTATGTTATGTTCATTAGCCGTTTACTTGCACTTCAAGCATTTGGCTTTTGTCGTTGCAATCCAAGCAAGTTATCTAATAAAAACACATTATTTTCTGTCCTATTGCAGCGTCAATTAGAGGTGATTACGAAACTTATCCGCGCCATCTACAAACACTTTTTCCTAAAACTTTGCATGAAAACAAAAAATAAGATAGAATTAGAATAATTTGGGATTATTCGAAGATTAATCCCAAATTGTTCACATTCTTTAGCTGCCTTTTATTAATACCCGTCATACTCTATTACTGTCAGTGTAGTCACTTACAAATACACGCAGACACCAGGATCTCTATAGAGTGGCTGCGTTTAGATGGTTTGGTTTGGGATTTAATCGTCTGGTCGGTTGTAGCTAGATAAGAGAGACTTTCATGATGTTTAGCTCCATCCAGTGGGCTTCAAGTATTTTTGACCACATGTTCTCTCCTGGTTTCACTCTCTTGCTGCCAGGAGGATCCACTTACAAGTTTGAAACAATATTAGATTAAAGACAAAGTCCAGGGGCATCCAAAACAAAGTTTATTCTCAGTTTAATCACAATCAAACATGCACACATGGATAATATAATAGTTTGTTTAAGGTTTTTTTTTTTTTTAGCCACAGTATCAAAGGTCAGCAATATTAGGTTTGAAAAAGACATAAGAAAATGGCCTTGTAACAACAGCCACATTAGAATCAATTCAATTTGACTGCTTCATTTTTAGAGTCTTGTTATTTTGCATGTTAGGTTATGATGGTAAGCTGGGATGCATTAGTAACACTTTTTTCACGGTGACAAGTCAAAATATCTGAGCAATGTATCTGTTTTCTAACAAGACTCATAATTTATTTGATAATTGATTCTTCTTGTGGCGATGTTAAATGAAAGACACAGATGTGGATGTTTAGGTAATGGGATCTGCTGCTTTATATTTGGACCAAACCACAAACTTTGGGACCAACAGGAAATGCCAAAAACTGTAGTTTTACTAATGGCCACTAGAGGCTTGAGCAACGCTGAGTCATCGATTGCAAGCTTAAAATCTCAAAATTTGCAACATAAATAAACGGGTTTACAGCCTGGTCTCTTTAACTAATTCTACTGGTTGAGGGGGTTAACTTTAAATCATATTAATGCAAAAAAAATTATGCCTAATTAACAGCATGGCTGTTCTGAGTGACAGCAATAGATGTCTAGCGATCATAGCTAGCTGCCTGCTAGGTGTTATTACAATTAATCTTAGCCACTGAATTGGACTTCAGTACTGTGTTTTTGAGTTTGTTGCTGCAATAAAATGTTGTAAATAGGATTCATGCTATGCTCAGAGTGATTTTATAGTACTAATTAGGAGATAACCTATCTGTGTGTTATGCTCTCATACGACTTATGGATCTTGCTAAGTGAGCTAACTAGCATTAGCTAGCCACATGCCCTACGGTTCTGGCTTCAAAAGAGTAGTCCACAAACAATGGGTGACATCATGGTGGCTACATCCATCTCTTATGTACAGTCTATGATTATAACACTTCTGTTTCATTAGCAGGGAAATTATGAGGAAGAAGTAAAGTGTTTTGTGATGATACTTCTCCCAGCCTTTGTGTTTAACATGCTAATCGAAATCTTTTTTGTACATTAACTTTTTATGTCTTTCTCTAAAGAGAAAATTGTACTTTGGGCTTCTCCCAGTTTAGTTATGTTTTCCGAAAGAAAGATTATGCGTATTTATGTTAATAATACAAAGCTAAGCTAATTTCATGTGCCTGGTTGCAGTTTAACATAACTGTACTGTGTGAGCATATTTTGAATGTGATGACATAAGACATTGTGGTCTTGGTTCTTGTTGTTGTTCACATTCTTCTCACTCTTTGAACTGCCCACAGCCACTGAGAACATATCAATTCTATTATCAAGTGGCTTTTTCCCCCCTTCAAAATAAAATAGATTTTTTAAAGAAATAAAATCCCTAATGAATGATGCACCATTGTTTTCCTTTTCTTTTTTTAAAAAAAATGGTAGAAATAAGCATTCATCTGCAGTTTAAAAACCATAATTCAGTCTGAAATATCCTCCACTGAAGTGCTGAGAAACAAACACTTCAATAGCTGTTTTTCAAAAATATGTTTCTTAAAATGTCAAATCCCTTTGCTGGAGTCTCTTTCAAAGCTGTTTTTAATTACACAGCTTCAAACTACTATTTAGACAACAAATTCACTCTGAGAAAATAATCATTGCATATTAATGTGATCAATAATCTCAACCAAACGGCAGTTTTATTTCCAGCCGGGCTGCCTGTTTATCTGAGCTCCACTTCCTACCGCGCAGAGAATTTAGTCAATACCGTTCACTTTTTGTTCACAAACAGTTTAGGTTATGTTCATATTTGCAAAAAAGAATGAAATAAAACATTTTTTAACTGGAAAGCAAATAAGCTGAAAAATCGAAACAGATGTGGTAAACATAGCAAAACAGACCAACAGATCATCAGATTAAATTCCAAACGTGTTAGCTTTAGTGAGTTCTGATCTCCTGGAGGTCTCACATTCACATTTCTCTTCTCAGTGCAAGATGCAGGGTTAAGAAACAAGTTTGTCACAGTTTAAATCTCATGCTAAACGTTAAAGTAAATATGTCCTGTGTAGGCTTTCTCATGAAAAGAC